TGTATACACACACATACAGATCTACACGTATACCTGTAACTTCATATATATATATATATATATATATATATATATATAATGCTATATATATTTATTATATTGCAAATTCTTTCACTTCAAAGTCAGTAGATTGGATCCACACAGGTAGGACAATGTGAGTGCCAGGACAGAAAAGGTACTGGAGGAGGGAGAGGAATCTGAACTCCAATTAAAAAGGTCAATAACACGACCTTCAACCCACTCCCCTGAGGGTAGGGGCGGGGAGAGAAATAATTGGGAATGAACAAACTCGGAGACCCTTTCTGCTCCTAGAAGGGAAGGGTCAGGTCTGCAGAGATCTCACGATGCCCTTCACTGAACTAGTTCAACATCTAAAGTCAGAACTTGTAGCTACTGCTCTTCTGATCTGACTGGAAGGCTTTAGAAATCCCTTCAAGACAGGGAGAGGAACAGGCCAACAAAAAAACACAGGCAGAAACGATCAGGAATTGCCAGTGACAAAGAGGGAAAGAGAAAAAGCAAAAACCTGAAGGGCAGAGGACAGAAAGGGGTAGAGTAGGAAGAAAAGACTGGATTCAACACACAACACGGAACCTGCTCCTTCTCCTGGTCGCTGGGCTGGTGAGGATGAACTGAAACTACGAAGGACAAGAAGACTTTGAGCAGCCTGAGACACCAAGAGGCCACAGAATCACCTCATGGGAATGCACAGCTCAGACATGATCTGCTTTGTTTTGGGATGTTCTTTATGGGTAAGTCACAGCTCACATTCCTCTTTGTGGGGTCTGGAGTTACCTTGGAAAGATGGAGGGCCAGTAGCACAAAAATTTTCCTTGATGTTTGAAAGGACTGCATATATAAAAGGCATGGAAGATAATATTTGCTGCTATTCCAGGGAGGGTAACACAGAGCTCAGGGCACCTGAAAGAACGAGAAAGGTAAGAATGCTGGAGGGACAGAGCAGAATTCATGTCAGTAAATTACATGAACCAGGGTATTTAAAGGTTCTTAATATTGGAGCACGGAGAAGGATCATGAGCTTGTGGTAGAGAAAGGGAAAGTTGTGGTGAGGATGAAGGTAAGAGAGGGTTTGTGCTGGGAACAGTACTAAACAGGATTTTACTGACTACAGGAAGTTCAGATATGAAACAACGCAGTTGGTACCACAGTAACTTCAGATCTGCAGCAGAATACAGGATGGAAACAATGGAAGAGGCATAGCAAGACATAGGAGATTCAGACTGGTAATGGTCCAGGTAACAGAGATAAAAGTTGCAAATGCCAAAGATTTAATTCACTTGGCTGTGTCTTTTTTTGTTTTATCCTTTGTAGTTCCCCCAAGTAAGAGGTGAGGAAGGCTGCCTCAATGCTGAATTGTAAGTATTTGTCAAAATTGCTGGGTTTTTTGAGAAAACAATGAAGGACAAAGGCAGTAGTGGACATCAGTGTTATGACTTGATGGTTGACATTTTCCAGAAAAGCTTATTTAATTGTGAGTATTAAATACTCATGTAAAATTTCCATTGCTTTGAATGTGGTGTATTAATCACTGGTTTTATTGATCAACATACTGATCATATGGTAACATTCCTGCTGCCTATTTGCACAACTGCAATAGTTAAGAGCTTTCTGGTGCAATTTCAATTGACTGAGATTATGAATTTGGAATTGAACTTTCCTTGAAAAAAAAATGGTTTGAAGTATACTGCTTTGGTGAATATCACTATCAGTGATGTTCTTTGTACGAATGACAGAATAATTATATACTGACAAAAAAGACAAAACAAACTTGAATGCAGGTCTCTAAGGTTTGCAAATGGAATTGGGCAGGCATAAATATCAGGAGAGCAATAAAGAGACAAAGCCAAACAGAAGGGAAACCCACCTACAGGGAGATTGATGAGGTTGAACAACTGTATCCTCCCCAAAGCACAGTGAGTTTCTCATCACTGTGCCACCTGGGAGTTGGACAATAAGGGAGGAGCATGAGGGGAGATGGAAGAAGGTGCCACAGGGATCTTCCCATTTATTTGGTATTCCGTGGATAACTATCTTTTGTACCTTCTTCTCTTCAGCTGTGCAGGCACAGAGTGGGACCGTTTGTGGTATATCTGGTAAGATAATGTACTTTTACTCTAAATATCTGCACCTCTAGACAGTTCCAGTAGCAAAGAGTGGGATTAAATATGACCTGCTCAAGTGTGATGCCACTCCCCACTTCCCCTTGGGATGCTCTAATGCTCTACAGTAACCAGGCAACCCCTTAGTTATCCCATCATCTTTAACAAATGTTGACTTACCATCCTCCTTTTTTATTCCACATATTAATTTAGGTGTATGAACACCATTAATAAAGCATTCATGGCAAAATATGCCTTTTAAAAGATCCATTATTTAAGTCATTTCAGTCTAATTCCTTAGTAATTCTCACCGGGATGAGATTAAAAAGGACAGTAGTTGTTGAACATCTAGAAGGCTGCATTAATATATATAATATATAATATGTATTTATCATTAATAATTAATAACAATCTATTGGTTTTTATATATATATATATAATATTTTTTAAAGAGAGAGAGAGAACATAGCCAGAAGATTGTGAGATCCAATTTTTCCTCCCTGCTTTTCACTCATGACCAGTCCAGTTTTTGTCCCCCAGTAAAAAAGAGATGCTGACAAACTGAAACAAGCCCACTGGAGAGCCAGTAATAAGGACCAGGTTTCTTCAGCCTGGAGGAGGCCAAAAGTGCAACCTAATTTTAGTTTTCCACTACCTAAGGGGGATCTTAAGACATAGAGACTTCTCAGAGGTGCTCACCAGAAGCACCTGTGGCGGCTGGCCAAGCTGCATACAGGAAAATTCTGATTAGACAGAAGGAAAAATGCTTCCCCTGAGGCTGGTGCAGCACTTGAACAGGTGCCTGGAGGGGATGAGGGATCTGCATCCCTGGGGAATGTCCAAACACTGCTGGACAAGGCTGCAGATGTTTAGCTTTGAGGTCCAGCCACGCTTCAAGCAGTGAGAGACATTACAAGGTGTCCTCCAAACAAAACCTTTCTGTCCTAATTCTGGGTGCCCTCCCTTTCCAGGGTGGTGGTGGTGATTGGTGGGCTCCTGCTCCTGTGTGGCGTGGTGTCTGTCTGTGTGAGGTGCTGTTTTCAGTGCCATCAGACAGGGGACGAGTCGGGGCCGCAGCCCTACGAGGTCACCGTCATCGCTTTCGACCACGACAGCACCCTCCAGAGCACCATCACCTGTGAGTTGGCTTTGAGGGGTGCTGGGGACTTCAACACACCACAAGGGAAGGGCTGCACTAAGAAAAGCCCAGGTTGTGACACCCCAAGGCTGACAGAGGGAAGTTCACAGCAGGATGGAGGGAAAGCAGCACCTGTACATCCCACAAATTGAGGTGCTCACTCCTCGTAGCAAATGCAGCCAGACGGAGAATCAGCCCTGAGACACGTTTGGGTGGAATTAGGGCAGCTTCAGGTCTCAGTGGCATTTCAAGAGAGAGTAATTGTGGGATGTTATTGATGGGGTTTCACGCACACTCCTTTTAGGGAAGGCTGAAGGGGCAGGAAAAGGAAAACACTCAGGCTGTAAGGGTAGAAAAGCCTGTGCCCTGCAGATGCACTCCCTAATCACATGATGCTTTCAGGATGAGGTAAACAGCTTTTGTCTCCTCCCTTCCAGCTCTCCACTCGGTGTTCGGGCCTGCTGCCAGGAGGATATTAGCAGTGGCACGCTCCCACAGTGCTGCCCAGGGAACACCACCCCTCTCGGGGTCGGACACTCCCCCGGTGTACGAAGAAGCCCTGCACATGAGCAGATTCACCGTGGCCAAGGCGGGCCAGAAAGTGCCAGACCTGGATCCCGTGCCAGAGGAAAAGCTGCAGATACCTGCTGAGGGCAAGGATGCCCGGCCAGCCCTCCCAGGACAATAGTGTCTGGTTTTAACTCATGGCAAATAATACGGAACAGTTACATGCAGAGACTAATTCATCTGGGCAGGGTTAGGAATCTCAGATTAACTTCCTTAGTCTAACAGGAAGGGGGGGGTGGCTAAAATTCAAAATATTTTCAGAGCTATGGTAGTTTGATGCCTCTTTCTGTCACCTCCGTGAGATGGTTGGCCACTGGCATTCTCCAAGTCCATTTATTAACACACAACACCAGTAGCAGAGCTGGCACAAATAAGCAGGCAGCAGGATCAAGGTGCTGAGCCATTTTGCAGGCCAGTGACCTGCAGGGTGATGGCAGAGGCGTCTCATTCCTCCTGCCTCCAGCCTGAGTTTCCTCAGGATGGCAGAGAGGATTTCAAAACAAACAAAACTCAAACCAAACCAAACAAACAAAAACCACACCAAAGCAAAAAGACATGTGAAAAGGTCTGTTAAGACCCAAAAATAACACCAAACTTCTGGAAAGTGCCAAACATTTATAGTCATTTTTAAAACAATCTGCATGTAAACAAAAGACAGCATATATACAGACAGTCTGTGCAGTATGTGCCCTAAATGTCCTCCAAGATACAGAGAATGAAGACAGTCTGGTTCTGAATAGGATATATAGCAATTCTGAAATAGTAGCCTGTTATATCTGAATTAAAAAATATTATATAGGTGCCAACAGATCAAAGAAGAGGAGGAGCAGGACCCCTGCCCCTGCAATAAAGCTCAATCATCTTTTAATTGCATTCATATTGTATCATTTATTAATTCCCACTGTTGCTGTCAAAACCAGACCAATTTAAGTAAGACCATTTGAAGCATTTAAGCCATTTCCCATATAGAATAATTTGTGAGTCTCTCCTGATCGATACAAATATGCTGAACCATCCAGAAATGTTGATCAAAGTGGATGAACATGGGTATGGACCACCTGTAAAATGTTTTCTTGGGTTAGGCAGTCAGGAGAAGGTGAGTGTTGAATTACATCAGCGTTGTCTCTACCCCAGGTTCTGCACTTGAAAACATTAAAGCAGAGGGAGATCAAATATCAAACGATAAGCAGCCATGAATTTATTGATGTACATGTTAATGTTGATATGAATGCCCAGGACACAGATATCACATCTTTCTGAAACACCTGCATGGCCCTTCTTACTGAAGTACCAAATTCTCACTGTCCCTAATATGCTGGTCTTCTTTCCTGTGAAATACAGAAAATATGGTTATTTTGCAGATAAGGAGAACAAGGACAATGTTGGACAAGGTCCAACAAGGACAGGGTCCCACATGTTTTTAGGGACTTAACTGCTGTTGAGATCAACCATAGAAAATTTTAGAGAAGGTTGCTAAGATCACTTCAGGGATAGAATAAAGCTGAACTGAACAACCCAAACATCTTTGATGATGTCCCAGACCTTGCCCAGTCACAGGAATTTTGTGTCTAAGGGTCTTGATCTCTGAGGTTATAAACTTCTTCCTGAATTGTCTGGTCATCCCCAATTGTATCATCAGTGAGTGATAAAGTGGAATGGAAAAAATAAAGAAGTGACATATAAGTTTATGTCCCTTCTGCTGTACAGCAGGCTTGAATCATAGAATCATAGAATGGTTTGGGTTAGAGGGGACCTTAAATATTGAGTTCCAACCCCCTGCCATGGGCAGGGACACCTTCCACTAGACCTGGTTGCTCAGAGCCCCGTCCAACCTGGCCTTGAAATAATAATAATAGCAACTGTTTGTGGAACATCTTGTCGAGTGACCCACTTTATCAGCTGCTCTCTGAAGTCCTGTTCAGCCATGACGTGTCCCCCAAGCTGCAGAACATTTCCTGGAAGGCTCTTGTTTACTCCCCGGGGAAATCCTGAAGCAAGCAGAGACATTTGAGTCTGCTGAACGTGCGTCAAGTACTACCAAGCCCAGAAGACTTCCTGGAAGTCTTCACAGTCGTTTCCAGGGGGAACGGACTGTTCCTACTCCACCTCCTGCCTGCGAAGCCCCAGCTGTGCAGGCATTTAACACACGGTGGCAGCCCCGCTCCACAGGGCAGCAATCCTGCCTGGCAACACAGAAATGCTCCATTTTCAACAATTTACCATAATAACTACACCGCAATTTTTTCCCTAATACGTGCAATGATAAGGGACGTTTTTAAATTATTAGTTTTCCTCTCCTCTACTATCTTAAATATCTTAACTTCTATGAGATTTTTTTCTTCTGTGAATTTTTCTAATTGTCTTTAAATCACAGAATATTCTGAGTTGGAAGGGACCCACATGGATCATTGAGTCCAGCTCTTAAGTGAATGGTCCATGTGGGGATCAAATCTGATTTTGGTGGTTTTAGCATTGTGTTCTAACAAACTGAGCTCCCTCCTTCTTCAGTTTCGGGGGAAAAGTTACAGGTCAGTTGTCCCCAGACCTGATTTCAGCTGTTTTACCTGCTGATTTCCATGTCTAACTCTCCAGTCCCTTCCCATCTGCTCATATCCTTCTTTGCTTGTCTCACTCGTGGTTTTCAGGTGCTATGCTGGTACCTTGAAGGGGTTTTTTACTGGCAAGACATCTGAAGTATTTGAAGTGACAATAATGATAGATATAACTTCACTTGCTCAGGGATTGTTTCCTACTAAACTGATTTCAGGCGAGCCCATAAGACCCAATAAAACACCAGATTACAACAAACAAAAAGCAGAAGCAGACTACTCTATTTAAACATAGAAGGTTGTGTAAGAAAGCAAAGACCAGGCACAAGTGACTGGAGACACTTCGCTCTTGCTGGCAGATCTGTTACAATTCAAAGTTCTCTCCTCTGAAGTAATCCAAAAATGAGGACAGAGTCAAAAAAGATCACATGTGTTCTGTGAAAAGGCAGGATTTTGCTGTCATTTGCTACTTTTCATCATGCCACAAGATATGTTCCTTAATCTCCTCGTGACACCATTTTTATGAGTTTAAGCCACTTGAGCTGAGGCTGGGCTATACAACAAATTTGGGAAGAACAAGTGGCTTTTTTTGTGAAAAATAAGAAACTGTAGAAAAATAGAGCAGTGAGGCAGCACAGACAACACAGAGTCCTTTTCTGGAGGAAAGGAAAACATACACACAATTAGACATTGTTTGGTGGCAGTGACTAATCCTGTGCCCTCATCCAAGACCAATGTGCCCCGACTGGCTCTGAAGTCACCAGACCAGTCGTGAGGGGTAAGGGAGAGATGCCAGGCAGGGATGGACATCAGGCAGAACAGATTCACAAGTGCTTCCAGGTACACCATGTGTAGTTTAATCCCCATTCAGAGTACAAAGTAGAAGTGTCCTGACAAAGAGAGGCTTTGATATGCTGAATCCACAACAAAGGCTTAAAAAAAGATAAAGCCAGCCTGTGGAGGCACAAATGGAGTAAGGTATCCCACGGGAGGTACTAATGAAAGAAATATCCAGGGGAGTCCAGACCTACAATTAGCTGAACAGCATTGTTGAGCAGGAGCGCTGTGTGGTACAGCACAGGCTGCAAACCCTGCCCCCAGGTTCTGTGCAAATATTTTTATCTCCTGCTTCTATGGCTACAGCACTGGCAGCACTGGGGAAATCCCTGTCAGAATGTCCCTCTACACTGCAGACACAGTAGTACAGTACGTGCTCAGAGCGGGTCTGACGCTCTGGGTTAAGAAAAACTACATTGTTTTGATAGCCTGTGGGTTGTGCCAACCCCATTTCTAGTTCCTCCCTCTAGCACATGGATCCATAACATGGGGTTTGTCACATGCCCAGGGGATGACACTCTAATACCTCTAAGTCAGATGTTTAGCTGTTTGTCACTGCTCCTGCGTGTCATCTTCCTGCCTGCTGTTTTTCCAGTGATGTTGTTGTTATTATTGAAGCTGGAGGATAGATCTGGGAACTCGGTGCCTGATGAAGTGGGGAAGCAGGAGGGGCGGGTCCGGTGGCTGCACATCCAGAGCTGCATCATCAGGACAGGAAGACAACAGCAAGATTTGTGAATCTCACCTCACGTGGGATTTGTTGGGAGAAGTCATTTAGCAAACCACTCACAGGCTGTGTCTTTCCATCAGGACAGGGAAGAACCCTGAAGCTTCTCCCTGGTTTGTCATCAGCAATTCAAACCTAACAAGGCTCAGCTGCCTTGTGTGCAGTCCTGGGGATGGAAACAACCATTTACAGCACAAAGGGAGTTTGAGGTCAGTCTGTTAAAATTGCCAGGACATGTTGGTGGCCTGGGTGAAACAGGCCAGAAAAGTTTCTCTCTTTTGCCCTTGAGGACAAACCTACCTCACCACAGACCTCCAATACACTTTGCTGTGCTGCCAGCAGTTAGGAAGCAAGGAGGTCAAACACAGGAATCATGGAAAGGTGCAATGCCACAGAACCAGAATTTTCCACTGGTCAGAACCCTGGAATTCCTTCCATCTTAGGCTATTCCCCATTGGACTGCACAAAAATAGCGCCTTCTGATGGATCCTCTGACACCACCTGGCAACTGTGGGGAAATGGCCACGTGTCCTGGGACAGACAGACACGGGCAGTGGGGACATCTCCCAGTGACGTCACAGCGGCAAAGGGGCACCTCCCAGTGACGTCACAGCGCTCAGCAGTGCAGCAGGGCACCTCGCCGTGATGTCACAGCGGCAAAGGGGGGCCTCCCCCTGATGTCACAGGCGCAGTGGGGCACCTCCCCATGACGTCACAGCGGCAAAGGAGACCTCCTTGAGACATCACAGAGGCAAAAGGGGCACCATCCCTGTGACGTCACACTGGCAGAGGGGAACCTCTGTGTGATGTCACAGCGGCAAAGGGGGACCTCCCTGCAGGCCACCTCCCCATGACGTCTCAGAGGCAAAGTGGGACCTCCTTGTGACATCACATCGGCAGAGGGACATCTACCCATGACGTCACGGCAGCAAAGAGGGACTTCTCTGTGACATCACAGCAGAAGAGGGGCATCTCCCCATGACGTCAGAGAAGCAAAGGGGGACCTCCCGTCACAGAGCTCTGTGGGGCACCTCCCTCGTGACGTCACAGCGCCCGACGGGGCACCTCCCCGTGACGTCACACCTCTCGGCGGCACAGCCCGGCCGCAGCGGGGGCTCCTCCCCGTGACGTCACGGGGGAGGGGCGGTGCCGCCGTGACGTCACCGTGAGGGCGGGGCAGGGCGGGCCGCGGGCAGGGACGGAGCCGCCGCAGCGCTCGGAGCGGAGGCAGAGCCCAGCCCGGCCCGGCACCATGAAGTTCCAGTACAAGGAGGACCACCCGTTCGAGTACCGGAAAAAGGAGGGCGAGAAGATCCGCAAGAAGTACCCGGACAGAGTGCCCGTGAGTGCGCGGGGGCTCCCGCGGGGCAGCGCCGGCCCCGCCTTTGTTCTCCCTGCCGGCGCCTCCCGGGATTGTTCTGTAATGCGGCGAGAGGCGCTCAGTGCCGATGGCCGGACCCGCATCCCCGGCTCCCCCTCCCTGCGGGGTGGCCACCTCCGCGCTGGGGGGGTGTAATGCACCTTTTTTGGGGGGGTCCGCAATGACTCGACGGGGAAGACGCTGCCCGTCTTTTTCTGCGTGGTGTTGATGAGCGGGGAAGGAGCTTATCCTGGTCTGTGAAAATGGAGGAGAACAATGAGTGGGTTAATCCATCGTAGGAAGCATCATCTGTGTCCGTGTCATCTCGTATTTCCCTGTATTTTTATTTTACTGCCTCCTGGCTTGTCTTTTCAATATATTCTTGCTTTGTTCTTTTCCTTTGCATTGAGCAAAAAAATTATACTTCTCAATCTTTTTGCGCCCCGGTGGACAAAATGTCCCTCAGAATGCAAGGTCATCCAGCTAAACTTTGCTTCCTCATTCCCCATTGCCGTACCTGTGGAAAACTTCTGCCTTTATAATTATTAACAATAATTGAGGGAGAAAGAAAAAAAGAAATGACAAATCTAATTAGTCGTGTTTGGGTTGGTTTGTTCTTTTTTTTTTCCTTTTTAATAAACCTATTGCAAATGTCTTTTCTTTTCCATCCCCACTGGAGAAGTCTGCCCTAGATTTACTGCGTGCCAAAAATACTTAGACACCCCTGTAAAACTAAGGACAGGGGGGAACAGCTACTAAACCCCATGTTTTCCCTACAGGCTAACAGCATATTTTTTATCTTGGAAGTGACCCTCAACTGGACTTGAAACAAGTTTTTGGAAGTCAGTGTTTGGGTGCATTTGGTTATGGGATGCCTGCCATGGCACAGCAGGTTGAGTAAATCAGTAATGAAGTGTGTGTGGTTTGGTGTCTCGTGGTGAGGACCTGCGAGGTCTGAAGTGAGACAGGCTGTAAATTGAGGATTAACATGGCAGGTTGTGCAGCAGGCCATGATAAGCGTCTCTGGAAGAGCCCAGGACCAGGCCTGGTCTGGCAAGAGGTAAAGGAGGTCAAGACAGGGGGGCATCATCAGACCTTTATTAAGAAAACCAGGACCAAAATAACAAGGTGTGCTGTAGTTAAGGTTAGATGGAAATGCTGCATGGCAAGGCCCAGGGGGGAATTATTAAGGGTAGCCTGTAGTCAGAGCTGCATAGGAAGCAAATGGATGCAGCAGCCTGTTCTGCCCTTCCTGACAGCAGGATCCTTGTGGATGTCACTGGTTTGGCTGCCCACACTGCAGCGCCCTGATACATCTCAGCACTGTGCTGAGATTTTACTGTTGGCACGGCCCTGCATTACCACAGTCAGCACTCAGCAGCAGAGGCACAGATAATCTATATCTGCCCTCTGGATTATCTTTGTAGGGGGTTTTGTGTGTGTATGTGGAGGGTTTAGTGCTTCAGAAGAGATAACCTGCGTTATCAGGCACGCCGACTACAGTTGCCAGTCAGATTAGCAGGGCACCTCCACTCCTTCCCTGCCTCTTTGCAGGAGGGAGATCTCTCTTAAGCTCGGTGGTGATCTGAGTTAAATCTTCCCTAAATCTTCCATAGGGGCTTAGAAACCCCAGCAACACTCTCACCTCTTCCTCATAGGCATGACTTGTTCTCCTTTATCATCTGGTGACCAAGCCACCCTGAGTCAGGGCAGTTCTGCTTGCCAGTCATTTTTTTAATTGGGGGCAAGTGCTAAAAGTTTCTCTCCACTGCAGTTTATTGTGTTAGATACTGCCTGGTTGGATGTGCTGGTAAAAAAAAAAATGTGCAAAGTGTTCCTGTTGAGTGAGATTGTGGAACTGTCATTCCTTCGAGGCATTTACCAACTGCATCTTGCACAGAAATGCACGTCCTGTACCACAAACTGCCTGAAAGAGCTTGAATACCTTGTTCTAATTTAGGTACTTGAAATCCTTGAAGTAGCAGAGACAACTGTGTTTCTATTTTAAAATCAGACTTGGAAATTTCAGGGGATTTGGCTGTGTTGGCCACACTCAAATGGAGCACAGGCAAGAGATGTCCAGGCTGGGATCTGTGGGAGCACGGAACCCTTAGGAATTAGTGCCACAGTGTCTCAGTTGGAGTATTTACAATTACAGGGTCTAACAGAATTAAAAAGTTGAGGAAGTTCATAAAATCCAGCTTTAAGATTTAGTTTGCATGGTCAAAATGGCCCCTGCAGAACAGCAAGCCACACAGATGGAATCATGAACTCTGACCA